CGCCGGGGGGGGGGGGACTGATTGGCTGGGCAAATTAATAGATGTTAGCCATGCATTGTGTGAACAAAAATTATAAAATTATGTAAATCATGACAGAATCAATATAACTACAGATTCTTTTGCTGCATGTGATTGAGCCCTTAGTAATAATATTCATCTGGCCACCCAAGGTCTCCCTTAGTAAAATAAGACAGAAGCACAGAACTTCGTTGGAGATAAGCATAGCTGTTACAACATTAACTTCTTACCTCTTGCTTGAATCTCTCATCTGTAATATCTTTCAAGTTTGTAAGAACATTGAAATAGGCACCAAAGACGCCAGTTTCTAAAGCTTTAGCTGCCACCTGCATACAAGGTATGAGAGGGAGATATATGCCTGATTAAACTTCTTAATCAATCTCACATTTCAAACCATGGTAAATCACCACAACTTGGTAAAAACAAGATGTGATGGAGATGGCAAAGCTATACAGGTCAGGCTCCCCACTGTACCTCCTACCAAACCCAACAGTGAGTAGCCTGTGCCCAGTGGTTGGCACCCTGTGAGGCTGGTTGGGGCCTGAAGGAGGAAGGGGTTGATCAGGTTGCAACACTGCAAAAAAGGTAGGCCTGGCTTAGTCACCAAGGTTTAGGGATGATGGGCCTAGAAGGAAAGGAGCTGCCTACTACTGTGGGGGGAGGTGTCAGGTGAGAGGGAGGAATCCAAGGATGGTGTGGACTTGGATATAAAAGGGAGAGATGCTCTGGGATTGCAAGGAGATTGGGGGGGGAGAGGGGAGCAGAGAGATTGACTTGACTGGGGCCCAGTGGGAAGTAGACAAAGTCTTTGCTGACTTTCCTTGGTGCCAGGCCCTGCAAACTGTACTGAGTCTAGCTAGCTCAGGTGCCCCTGGCCCATCCCAGCCCGGAAGAGACACTTGTGTCACAAGCAGCAGGCCTGGCGCCTCCGTCACCAAGAGAACAGCGGACTGGTGCCCTTTGGGTGAGGGGTGTGTATGTGAGGTGCACAGGCTTAGCTGGGGAGGGCAAACTGCAATGAAGATGTGGTACAGCCCACGAAAGGTGAGTAGAACCACTCCTGGGTCTGCACCTCTAAAGGATGTGGGAAAATGTAGGGTGGGGCCAAGGGCCAGAAAAGACCGAAGGAGTGTGATGTATGGATTTACATAAAGGGGTGAAACGAGACAGGAACAGTTGCCTGGCTTTTATGCCATTCCCCAAGGGCCTTTCAATGCCCCCTGCTTCTGAGAGACCACAACCATTTGTTCCACATGATGGCATTCAAAAATTAGGTTGAAAATTACATTTATTTTATTATGTTCTACTCTGTCCAAGTCTATTCAGCTTTGTAATCAACTAATTAATGTTTGGTGACATTTGTTGAGAGCTTACATCTTCTAATTTGCATATCAGACTGAGAATGCTATCTTGAAGCACAAACAAAATGACTGCGTCAGATCAGTCTTCATCTGATTGCTTTACATGCAGGAAACGTGGCAAAACGTGATTCTAACATAATGCATAATCTACTGTAAATTATTACTCTGCTTTCCAAAAATATTGATAAGGATTCTTGCAATCACTCTTAAATTACACAATCTGCCATTTCTCTCAGGCACTTTTTTCTATACAACCCCCCCCCCCAAGGTCTTATGTCATCTAAGGTTTACAGCACATCTTTAAATCAGATCAGACTAGGAACTAAATAGCAATGTGCTGGAAGCCACCCAGTCAACTTCATAGTTGAAGAGGGATTGGAGCCCATATTTTTATATATGCTCTGTGCAGTCTATGTAGTGCACCCACACTGCCCTCAGTAATGTTGAGTTTGATCTCCTCCATGCCCTTCAACCAATATGTTTGGGGGCACAGTCTTTACAAAAATAGAATTATTTATAGGATAAAAACAAAATAAATCCAGAACTAGTTTTTTCAAATTATTTTCAGGAAATAACTAACAACTAGTTCACAAACAGTGCATTCTCTTTCTCTTCTTGGCAGCATGTATGGAAATTGTTACAAATTGGAAAGGAAATTGTAATTTAACCTTATACACTTGGAGAAATAAGAGTTGGCATACAACCAACTACCTAATTTATCCAATTAGACCAACCAAACTATCACACTCTCGAAATGATCTTTTCAACACATGGTTTCCTTTTATTAATTATGTTAATAACAAGAATACTCATTTTCAGATTCTCATTAACAGTCTTTAGTATGCCTTTGTGACCTATAGATTGCATTTGTTTTGCTCTTTTTTTCTTTGTCCATATTTATTTTTATTATTTATTTGATTTATATCCCGCCCATCTGGTCTATATCAGTGGTTCTTAACCTTGGGTAACTCAGGTGTTCTTGGACTGCAATTCCCAGAAGCCTTCGCCACCAGCTATGCTGGTTGGTGCTTCTGGGACTTGCAGTCCAAGAACACCTGAGTTACACAAGGTTAAGAACCACTGGTCTATACGACCACTCTGGGTGGCTATTTGGAGGAATAATTATCTGGAGATAGGAATAGTTTAATGAAAGACCAAAATCTGCTGTTTTTGTTGTAGTTTGTATTTACTTTTAATCACTTTTTAAAAATCACAGTTTTGGTCTCATTGCCTTGAGCAAGATGCCATTTTAGCAGCTGCTGTCTATGTTGTTTTTCAGCTCACTGAAAATTAGTGACACAACCCTATTAAAAATGTGAAGACTGCTTCACTTCCTAAGCTGCGTGCTCGTTAAATAATACTGTACCTGAATATCCGACTTGCAAGCTAAGTTCCCATGCAGAGCCATTTCTTTTAAAAAAGGCCATAAAGAGTGAACTTTTTCTGCTAATGAGAAAGGGACACCAACTGCCTTTTTCAGGCCCAGCTGCATGGCTGTTGTCCGCCTGTGGGTAGTGAATAAGGGAGAGAGATTGTCAGTCTGACTGGATGACACAAACAGACAAATGACTTCTAAGGACAGGGTGAGGTATGTGTGTACTATATTACTATGTTGGAACAAAACATTCAATAAGTCTTACAGCAGAGCACATTAAAAAAAAACAAATTGATTTTGGCAAATTGCTATGTCTTAAAAAAAAGAATAACAATCTACAACAAAATTCAGCCTAACAGAACGGAGTTTTTCCCAAATAGATTTCACTTGTATTTCTCAAAAACAAACAAAAAATCCCTGCAAAAAACATAAAACAAACCCAAACCAAATATAAAATGATTTGCATTTCCAAAGTATCTAAGATAAGTGCCACCAAAACCCATAGTCATATTATAGGAATAATTACTAAACACTGGAAATAGTAACAATGTTCAAGATATGAAATGCCAGGAATTCTTGGACAGAAGTATTCCTCTATCCAGGCTAGAATTGTATGTGTCACATGCTCATCGGCATAGGAGGCATATGACAGGAGTATGATCTCATCAATGCTGGGAGAAAACTTGCCCCTGCTCATGCCTCTATGTCTCCTCGGATTAAAAAAATAATACCAGTAATTATGAAGTGATGTTTGGCAGAGGACTAGTGTGGGAGAGCAAAGCAGCTGGCTTCACCCTTTCCCCACCGGTTGTTTGCATTCTAAAACCATCTTCCAGGCTGCTTTTTACCCTACATATCATATCTCCATGAGTTCAAAAGCAATTGTAAGGAAGGGTTTTCAGTATTAATACGGCAAAGGAAGGAAGAACGGATGGACGGACGGACAGCCCATAACCTCCAAAGAAAACACTCCCAGATTCCTGAAAAGTAAAGCCAGACAAAAGTAAAGCTTGGTTGTCTTGCTGCTTTTCACTTCTTAACATAGAAGCAACATTACATGTTCGGAGAGGCAGCAAAGATAAAGAATTAAAATAAATACATAAAAGTAGAGGTATATAAAATAGCAGGACAGCCACATTGTTAGCCTTGCTGCAACACACAGAGAAATTACACGGTGAGAGTATCACAGATACAGGGGAAAATTAGGGGAGATTTATAACAGATATTCACAAAATGGCATCAGTGTTAGTAATGAGATGAGAAAGACTATTTAACTTGTTAAATTAACATTATTAACATATTAATTAAGGCATTAGCGAGTGTGCCTTCTGCCAAGGCCAGACACCAATCTATTATTCCTCTTCTGCACAGGAAAAGAGACTTATACTTGGGGGAGGAAGCTCATAGGCTCCCTTATGTTGGCCAGCTGGCCTACCTGCCTGAATGTATAAATATTGTTGGGGAGTACACACACAGTGGCACAGGAACAAACTTGTGAATTCAGCCCTTTGAGGCTCAGAATGGTTACCTGAGCACACTTATAAATAAGACAGCCTCTGCTTATTAGAGAAATGCATTTGGAATAGGAATTGTGGTAGAAGTCCTAGTTCTAGGTAACGAAGGTGGGGATGTCAGGAACTATCTCTAGAGAACAAAAGGCTTGTTCTTGGAGGGACAAGAGGTGTGTGAGGGGGAGGAAGTGACATCAGCAAATCTAAAAATAGCAGTCTAAGGTTGAAGAAAAGACTATGCAGGTCACAGCAGGTAAAGGACAGCCAAGGACAGTTCACTTCTGACTATTCCCTACCTGGAAAATCTTCAAAAGGGTCACCATAAATCAGAAAAAAAAATGTTCTCCAAATCCCACAAGATACTAGTTCCCCTCTATTTGGCACTGGTTAGGCTTCAACTCAAGTATTATGTCCAGTTCTGGACACCGCACTTCAAGAAGTATGCTGACAAATTGGGATAAGTTCACAAGAGGGCAGCAAAGATGATTAGATGGCTGGAAACCAAGCCCTGTGAGGAAAGACTGAAGGGACTTAGCATGTTTAACCTTGAGGAAAAAAAAGACTGATGGGAGATATGATAGCCTTTTTCAAATACTTGAATGTTAACCATATAGAGGAGGGGCAGGATCTATTCTCGATCATCCCAGAGTGCAGGACACGCAACAATGGGCTCATGTTACAGGAAGCCAGATTTTGGTTGAATATCAGGAAAAACCTCCTAACTGTTAGAGTAGTACAGTATGACAGAGGAAACAATTACTGAGTGATGGTGAGTGCTCCAACACTGGAGGCATTCAAGAGAAATTTAGACAACCACCTGGCAGATATCCTTTGATTTTAATTCCTGAACTGAGCAGGGGGTTGGACTCGATTGCCTTATTAGGCCCCTTCCAACTTCATGATTCTATGATTCTGAGGAATCCTAAGGAGGTCCTCTCTTCTTCTCTCTCTCTCTCCTATTTCCTATGCAAAGATATGCATCTTCTCAAGTGTAATCTGAGTAGCACGCTATCACTTCCAATATAAACCAGAGAAATCAAAGCACATAATAAAGGTAATGACTCAAAAATTTAATACCTAAAACCCTGAGCTATTCAACTAGTTCATTTAATCAATAGCTAATTAAATATTTATTTAACCCTTACTTCTGTCAATCCACAATTTCATCCATTGTGTGTTTTGTTTTGTTTCTCACACAGGTGGGCCAGCCATCCTGCCTATGCTGGGCTTCCTTGTCTAGTGTAGAGGTCATGTTAGTATCTGTGCCAATTAAGCTGGCCAGAGATTGCAGACCTGTAATTCTGCTCCAGAAAACTATAATTTTGTTGAACAATCCTTGGGAGACTGATGCCTGTAATTTCCCTCCCAGTTCTTAGACGACTGTATTGAACAGATTTGGGTATACTTATTTGATAAATGTGATGAAATGAGTTGAATGCAAAGAATTTGTCATTATAACATAATTAGCTTCCTCACAAGATGACAAATCAAGACTTTGGATGCAGATGTTGTATTGAAGGATTGTAGCTGATAAAATATTTGGATTTTTTAACTTCATTTATTTTAGTCCTTGTAAGGCTAAGAGTTCTGGACTATTAGAGTAAAGTTTATTTAGGGGTCATAGATACTTGCAAACACATATCTACTGTAGAAAAGACACAGCCAAAGTAACATTTTATGTTGCTTTTGCATGTCAGGAAGTTTTGCACTGGTATGGGCAGGAAAAACGTGTTAATTTTAATGTGTTGTTTTCAAGCTCTGCCTTAGATAATCGCACAACTGCCTTCTGAATGGCAGCCATGATAGCAATAAATGCTAAATCATACACTTGGATTTAGAAATTTTAAGTTGCATAGAGGCTAAGCAAACAAGCTGTCATTCTAGGCCACAAGTTGAATGACCTCCAGCAGGCTGCTCTTTCCCCACCAAAGTACTGAGTAAGAGTATACCGAAAAGATTGCTGAGATAATGCCAAGTACTTTGACCAATGGAAGTTGAGATTTTTAATTTTTTTCCCAAATAAAAAATGCTACTTTCTACAAACTGAAATACAGCTTTAATGAAAGATATGTGGGCAATACGCAACAAGTGACTGAGACCCCATGTACTTACTGTGATGAAACAGCAAGACAGTTCTTTTTCAAGAACATAGGTTATCAAATAGTTATAATCATATTTATTTTCCTTTTGTTTTTTCAACCTCCAAAATTCAAAATAATTAACATGGAAAGAAGAAAGGTATAATTGTTGTGCTTATTCAACTTCTTTGCCTTCCATCTAGCTATTCCACCTGTGCTTTTCAAACACAAAGTGAAGCACTATTGCTTCAAAAGTTGCTGGTTGCTTTGGCTCCATCTTCCCCAGTCATGAGAATCTCTTCATAGCTTTTAAGAAAGAACAGCCAGATCACTTAAGGCCTGTATTGTAAACCTTGCATATATCCTGTATTTTAAACAGGTTTTAATATCTTCCAGGAGCATTTTTCTTATAATCATGGGGCACTGGTTCTGTAAAAGAGATTTCCAATATTTTGATCATATGACAAACAGGAATATTTGGAGGAAGCCACGGCAGTGAAACTGACATTGAAGTATAATTATAAGGTAGATGGTCTTTTATACTGCTGTATCAACCCATCGAAATAGATGCATTGATTTATTTGGTGGTTGGTTTAATTGCTTATATGTGGTATTTTTCTTTTGTTATATTTAAGATTTATTTTATGTTATGTTAGGTTTCATCAAACAAACAAATACATACCTTTCTTTCTCTTCAGCTGTATTCTTAGGAAGTTTCATAGCATCCTACATTGAAAAATAAAAACATAGTTAGTAAGATCCAGTAGTTATTTAGGCTATGAGAACCACAGTCAAGGAATCTTCCACTTTGCCTGTTTTTTAAGCTCTGAACAAAACCACTGGTGGCACTCTGGCTCCAAACCAGAGCCTTCTGATATATTTCTATCTCTCCTCATCCCACTATATAAATATTCAATTCTTGAAAAAAAACCAACTTCAGTTTATGAGTGTGGGATATTGTTCTTCTGTACCCACAATTCAAAAAGCCAGGAAGTGGCCCATCGCTGTACGATGTTGTGCCTGTGTTGCCAGAAGGAAAAAAGGATGCCAAGCTTTACATAGCAAATGGCAGCATGAATATTGACAACATCAATGACAGCAGTCACAGTGGTCTACCGGATACCTTCTTCTGCTCCCTACCATTCACAAAGTTACACCATGCAGGGAAAATCCCAGAACCTGACTCTTTTTTTTATCAGTTAACTACTACTTACCCAACTGTCAGCTGCTTTTCAACAAGCGTGAATGGAGAGGTTACCCTTTAGATCATCTTGACTGCTACATCTGTACCAAATTTGGTGCTGATACAGTGGTGCCTCGCATTACGATGTTAATTCGTTCCAGCGAAATCGCTGTAGAACAAAAATGTAATGCGAAAATTAAAAGCCCATTGAAATGCGTTGAAACCCCTTCAATGCGTTCCAATGGGCTGGAAACTCACCGTCCAGCGAAGATCCTCCATAGGGTGGCAATTTTCGGTGCCTGTGCAGAAAACAGCGGGGAGCCATTTTATTTACCCGGTGGCCATTTTGAAACCGCCAATCAGCTGAAGCAGGGAACTGATCATCACAAAGCGAAAAATCCCTATTCAGACCATTGTTTTGCGATCGCAAAAACGTAATGCGGTTTAATCGTAAAGCGGGGCACAACTGTACAAGGTCCAATTTCAAAGTTATAATTTTTTGTTTGAGGGCACCCCTATTATTTTGAATAGCCTTATGGAATGCTGAATTGGACTGTCACACAATGTTGCAAAATGTGACAGTTTTTAAGATGCCACAATATATTTGTCTTTTTAATTGTCATTTTGTTTTGGCCTAATATCCAGTTTAACCCTATATGCATCCTGTTTATACTGTATGTGTTTCCCTATAAAACCGTTCCAAGTTCTAAAAAATTATTGTTTAATGTCTGGGTTTCCCCCCTACAAAACAGATAAAAATGTGACAGAAAGACTAACAGGATAAAGAAAGAGATTAAGATATCGAAAGTTTGTAAATCTCATTCACCATGTAGCTGCTGAAAGCCAAAGAGTCTGCATCCACCATGACTACCAGCTCATTCATGGACTGATGGAATGGTGGTATTAGTTTCCTCATAACTGGGTCCAGTTCTTCAAATTGACGTTTTCCATAGGTCATCAAACCTGCCATGCAGCCCAGTGCTGCCCCCTAGAAGGAGCCACATTATAAAGTAAATATCTTTCACATAGCCTTCAGTTTGCAGAGGACCTAATATAATTGTCAATATTCAATAATATCTCTATAGGTTTAGTCAGGGAGAAAAATCCTTCCCAGAAAACAGAAACACGGCAATCTTCTCTTCCCACCCAACCAGAAGTGCAAGGATCTTCCTTGTCCACCTTGTTCTCTCTTTTTGCCCACAAACATCAATGTTTTGATGGGAGAGTGGTGACCAAGAGGTAATGAGATTGCTTCAAGATACCCTGCTGTGGGTTATAATTTTGAATAATTGTCATATTAGTACTCCATTTATTGCAAACTATGCTCTTGTTTTGAACATACAGTATTCAAGTTTACAGGGTAAACCGAGAGATTATAAATGGCTCGTCTGTATAATATATGCAAACAAGAGTAGATACCAAAGAAGCCATTGCTGCTGATACAGATCCTCCTCCAGGAGTTGCAGACCGTGTTCCAACTTTCTGTACAAATGTATGAAGAGGCAAGGATGTCAGACTGCCACCACCGTTCTCTTTGTCCTGTATCATGTCCCTTCAGAAGAGAGAAGGTGAAAATAATTTCCATGTGTGCCCAGTCTCACTGACCAATATGAAGTAAATAAAGGGAAGGAAACTATCCAAACATCTCTTCCATGTGATAATGTTCCTGAACAGAAGAGTGAAATGACTCCAGATACCAACTGAAATATTAGACTAGCGCAAGAAAGTGTTGTGACTATGTGTTATTCACTAGAAAACATGTGGGAAACTTTCCTATTCGAGGATCCGGATTAGTATCTCGCAAGCAAAAATGTTCCTTTGAAAATGTGCCATCATGAGGAAAAATTTAATTAAATTGTAAGCATGGGAGCCAAGAAGTTGCATTCACTCTCTCTCTCTCTCTCTCTCTCTCTCTCTCTCTCCCCAAATCCTGTCCAAGGGGAGGGCTTTACTATTGATGCCTCAAAACAGCCCCAGCAGCAAAAACATAAGAAATTGGTTAGAAGAAAACAGGAAGAAGGGCAGATGAAGGGATCCAATACCCCACTGCTCATAACCCCACTTTCAGAGTAGTATGAATGTGCGTAGCACCAAGGCCTGAGATGATGGGAGCAGGGAAGGGGCTGGATGGTCCCCACTGCAGGCCTTCTGCCCCAGCTGCGAATCCTCAGGTTCAAACACAAAGGTGGTGAGGCTGCTGGTCTCCATGGAGATAGCAGCCTCTCTATCCAAGATGTTGGCTGGAACAAAGTTATATCTGGGAATACCTGGAGCAACCCCTCCACTGAGAGAAAGTGCTTCCCAGCTGGAGGAGAGGGTCTTCAATGGTCTGGGGGTATTTTATTGCAAGCTTGCTCACAGCAGCTGGAGCACAAGGGCTTCAACAGCAGTAACTTTTTCCAGATGTGGCTCCCTGAATGGATGATGGAACGTGATGATAACATAATGCTTCTCTTGCCCCCTTTCTCCACCTTTTAGCTGGTTCCTACTTGTGGCTTTCTATTGGCTAGCAGTACTCCCTTTCTTAAAAGAATTACACTTAAGGTGACAAACATAAGCATTTTTGCCCATCATGGCAAAGCCCAATCAAGGTCCTGAAAAACCTGCAATATAGAATGATAATACAGATCCTCATATCTCTTGAAGACAAAGGCACAAAGTGTCTGTCACGAGTCATTCAAAATCACTTCCTACCAGCAAGGAATTAAATGGAGATAGGATATTATGTTGTTGCTACTCTGCGCGTGTTAGCACCAGTGGAAGGGCAAGTGTTCAGGTTGAAACTGAGAAGGGAAGGGAAAGAGTTCTTCTACCCAGTATATGCCGTCTTCACAATTCCTGCAGAGGGGCAATGACTGGAATCGCTTTGCTAATACTGTAATTATTAAATCATCTGCTCTCATATTTTTGCACACTAATATAGCATTCAGGTTTTCCATATCTTCCCCACCCATTTCACGTGTATCATCAATGGTTACCAAAAGTGTCCTGCAAAGAATAAAATGCAAGAGTCTTAATTTGGAAATATCTTGACTGTCAAGGAAAGAACAGGGTGCCTACATGTAACTGTGGTTCTTCAAGCATGAAGTCACACTGAGGGTGTTCTGTGCATGTGCAAAGCCTTGCCGGAATGTCCCAGAGCTTCTGCATGTAGAAGATGATACATTAGTATAGGCCCCAGGGGCCCCTGACTATACCTACCTTGGTGCCAAGGCTCTCCCCTCAGTTCTAAATCATCCACCACTACAAGTGAGAGAAGATGAATGGGACATATGACTTCACAGAGGACCACTGAAAGAATCACTGTTCTTCTTTGTAGCCTCTGTGAGTCACACTGAGCATGACCAGCAAGCTCACGTACCTGGAAGGAGGATGTCATGCCAAAAGAAAGGTGAGACAATTGCTCTTCCAAAGGAGGTGTCAGATTTTTGCCCAATGGCCAACCGATAGTGTGCCATAAACATGCACTGCTGCATTCAGGTGGCCACCTTGCAAATATCTGGCAAGGGAATGCTTTGGAGGAATGCCGTAGAGGCAAATTCGGCTCTGACAGGTTGGACACCAGAGATTTGAGGAGTGCCGAAGGTGTTTGCAGCCAAGAGTCTGGCTTGGAGAGTAAGGGGTCACCACATGATGCAATCAACTGTTGGTCAAGGTTGGACTTGTATTCTACGTCTGGCTGAGACTAAGGTGCAGGCTGAGGCAGTTCTCAATGTCAAGGTCTCAGTGCCGATGGGATCGAGGGTGGTACTGATGGTTGGTGCTGGTGATGATCCATAGCAGGTCAGAGATGAGCCTCGTTGGAATCAATGGGAGCCCTCTAGTGGCAGAGATGGGCTTCAGTATCAAAGATCCCAGGGGTGCTGTCAATGTTGGTGGTTCACTTGATGGTGATGGTGACTAGATCGGCCATACAAGAGGACTGTGGAGTGCACCAAGATTGGTGAGCCTGATCTTGAAGAATGGCTGGGCAAAACTCTTGGATCGGAGGCTACTGAGGAGGCCTGTGGAGGAAAGTAGGTAAGGCTGCCGGAGCTGCAAAGCCCGTATACACCACTGGGTCTGCTGCTGGATGGCAGCAAGATTTCCTTGGGGATGAAGAATGGTCAAAATTGGCAGAGGGTGCTGGGCTACGGGTTGGCTGGTTATACAGTATTCACATCTTGAGGCCAATGGTTCCCTCCTGGCCGTCAGGCACTCGCAGGGAGCCGAGGCATAGTGGTGGGTAGCCTCTTTAGCATAGCATGGGACCAAGGAAGAGAATACCTCACAATGCTCACAGCATTACAGAAGGTGCCAGGCATGCCCTGCGCGGGATAGCAGTTGGGGAGCAAGAGGCGGTTGATATTGATGTTTGCCAATGGAGGGTTAGCAGTGCCATGGACCAGGGGCTTCTGATTAAACGGAGCTGGCCTCCAAGGCAGTGCTAATAAAAGACAGCTGCAAAGTTGTGATGGTCTGGGTGGTGGCGGAACAGTCAGGGAGTCCATACCAGTCTGGAGAGTGAGATGGAGCTGGAGAAGGCTGGTGGGCTTGTGGTGGTTTGTCCTCTGATACTGAGCCTACGCAGACCAGGTCATCTGTCTCAGCAGGCTGTGGTGGAGGCTGCAGTGCTGGTGTTGAGTGGGGCTTCTCCACACATTGACTTCTGGTCTGACTTTTTGGAGGCCTGTGGATTAATGGTGGTCCACGGGGGCCTTTTGCTTTCTTGAAGTTGGAGGCTTCGGGATTGAGACTTTTGAGCCTAAAGTCAAAGGTTTTCAGTATTGAAGCCAAGGTGGAAGCCGCCAGTGAGCGCTGTGTAAAGAGATGGGGTGCAACCCCAGGGTAGGATGGCAGAGGTATGATCAAAGTTCACACTTTGTGGAGAAGCTTTCCAACAGATGGTGGGCATGAGTATCAAAAGTGCTCTTTGAAGAGGTACTGGTAATCAACCACATTTGGCTGCTAGGAAGTGAGCACAGAGATCTGGCCCAAGAATCCCTTGATACACAAATCTGACCAGCTCTGCCTGAGGAAGAAGCCCAATTAATTACCTGGGGGGCAAATGCCCTCTTTGATGTAGTGCTTGGCCAAAGGGAATCAGCAAAAAGTGAGAATGGGTACTTAAGAGGCAGCTAGAAACAAACAAATAGGGAGAGATGAGCTAAATTAAGCTGGGAGTTGGTCATTGTTCTGTCTCATGTAACAGTGGGGAGAAATGGATCTCGATTGTAAGTCTTAGAGCCATCACACTGTGACTGTTAGGGAAGCCTTTGTTAGTTGAAGTAACCACTTTTCTTAATCTTCAGTGCCTGATTTGCTAGACTTATGCTTGCTTGAAATGCCTTAATATAATCTTAGAAACAAATGCTTTAACACAATACTTTGGTTCTAACAAAGTTCCTTTTAGAGACAGCCTTCTTTGGTCATGGAGGTTCTATTTTTACAGAGCTATTTTTGGTTACTTGATCCACAAAGCCAAGTTGCTTCAGCCAGCGTTACCAGCATAAACAGTCTTTATACGAAAGGTGCAGGTGGCACCCAGAAAAGGGAAGGATTGGTTTCAGCATTTTACCAGGGTTCTTAGAGGAACCTGAAATTTGGCACTGGGATAGAGAGGCCACTGGTTTATCTTCTCCCCAGATGTAAGGCGGCCCAGATCCCAGGCAAGAATCTCATGACAGGCTGGGGCTCCTCTGAACTGACAGTAGTGATGGAGAAGTGGTGTTTAGCCGAGTCTGTGATGGTTTTGCCCATGACCTTTGACCTGGGCATGGACTTGCAGACTGGCTGGGACATAGGGTCAACCACCTAGAGGTACTGCTTCCACAGGCAGTTTGTGCCTGGGCAGGCAGTTATGGAGGACTCCTCTCGTGAAGGTTTTGCAGTGGATGCAGGAGAGAGTTTGATGAGTCTCTCCAAGACAAAGCAGGCACTTAGAGTGGCCATCTGAAAGAGGGACCTTGTTTGCACAAACTATGCAGCATTTGAATGGGCCCTTCAATGAAGAGGAGTGGTGTAGTTGACACAAACTGTTAGGTAGTGTCATGAAATTGAAGGAGAGTGGAACTTGTAGTCAGAGATTAAAGGAGAGTGGGACTTGTAGTCAATGGAGAGGAAAGAAAAATGGAGTCTGTTAGGTTTTAAAGTTGAAAGGAATTGAAGACATGGGAATGTGAGAAAGGCAGAGAAGTTTTTTTTAAATTTACAGTCAAGCTGGTACAGCGTGAAACCTGATAGGGATGCAAGGACGAAGAAGCCCAGAGCGCAAAGACCCAACAAATTCTTTTCTAATTGGAATGGAGATAAACCACCCGCATCTCCATGAGAATTGTGAGTGGAGTGGACAGTTATGCCTCTTTGAGTTAATTGGTTTACAGTCAAGAAGAAGGAGGTCTGAGGAATGTAGAAAATGGATGATGGGTTATGTGTAAGAGAGACCATGATGATGGAGGAAGAGATCATGGTATGTAGGTAAGAGAAGGAGGTGGTGCTAGCCCACCTTAGCCCAATTTTAGTATTTATTATTTTAATGGGAATTAGTTGTTGTATTTAACTATGGTAATCCTTTGAACATGTCTTTATGCTAATGCTTGAGCAAAAACAAACTGTTTCTATGAAACTACATTTTCTTAATAAAAAATAATTATAAAAATCATTACTAAGGATTAGTCTCTTGGATCAGCAGGGTTTGGCTAAATCCAGAGGAGAGGTAACGGCCATTGACTAGCTACCAGAGAAGCCCTAATTAAATGAGCTGTTGTGAGTTCTTAGGTATCACAAAGCCCATGTTGCTGTAAACTGTTCTTTTAAGGTCAGGCTTGCTCTAGGCACAAATGCTATGCACTGCTGGAGGTTGAGGACTTGCCCCAGCGTAAAGTGGTAGGTTTGTGGCTAAGGAACTCCCTGACTGAAGGACCCATGTTCCTTAGGGAGATTTGGTTCTGACAGGTACTGTATATACTATTATTTCTCTCTCTCTCTTTTAGGTTGCAAGAAGCGGGAAATTATTGGAATGGACTCACTGAGACACTCACAAAGATGAGGCAGTTGAAAAGAACTGAGGGGAGACCCTTGGCGCCAAGGTACATATAGTGGGGGTGGGGGCAAGGCCTATGGTTTCTGGAACACTCAGGTGAGCCCCTGTGCATGTGTGGAACACCCTCAGTGTGGTTCAGAGACGCCTACAAAGTAGAACCTCTTTTTAAATACAGTGGTGCCTCACACAACGATGTTAATTGGTTCCAAAAAAATCAACGTTGTGTGAAACATCGTTCTGTGAAACACCATTTCACATAGGAATGCATTGAAAACCGGTTAATCCGTTCCAATTGGAACGGATTGCCATCGTTCAGTGAAAATCCCCATAGGAAACATCGTTGAGTGAAACAATGTTTCCTATATTGGAATGTATTGAAGCCGACTCAATACATTTCAATGCCTTTGCGAAGTCCTTTTTCGCTCCTGTAAAAGTGTCTTACAATGTTTGGAAGCTGTTTTAAATGATTGCAATGGTTAGTCCACCTCCTGAAACCTATGCAAACTGATTTTGGTGTTGTTCTGACACTTCGTTAATTTATGATGATTTTTTGAATTATCTCCATAGGAAACCATTGGATGGTCTGTCTAATGGTTTCCAATGGAAAAAACAAAAAATCATCATAAATTAACAAGTGTCAGAACAACACCAAAAGCGATGTTTCCTATGGGGGATTTTCACACAACGATCTCCCTTTTCGCTCCTGTAAAAGTGTCTTACAATGTTTGGACGCTGTTTTAAATGATTGCAATGGTTAGTCCACCTCCTGAAACCTACGCAAACTGATTTTGGTGTTGTTCTGACACTTCGTTAATTTATGATGATTTTTTGTTTTTTCCATTGGAAACCATTAGACAGACCATCCAATGGTTTCCTATGGAGAAAAAACAAAAAATCATCATAAATTAACGAAGTGTCAGAACAACACCAAAATCAGTTTGCATAGGTTTCAGGAGGTGGACTAACCATTGCAATCATTTAAAACAGCGTCCAAACATTGTAAGACACTTTTACAGGAGCGAAAAGGGAGATCATTGTGTGAAAATCCCCCATAGGAAACATCGCTGTGTGAGGCAGCAAATTTAACAGAAAAAGGCATCGTTGTGTGAATTCATCGTTGTGTGAGGCACTCGTTGTGCGAGGCATCACTGTATAAGCATAGACTACATAAATACCTTATTTTAGGTCTGCAAGTACCTGAAAGGACATGGCATCTGCAGATATTCCATATTTTTTTGGAGAAGAAAAGGTGGTGGTTTGTAAGTTTTATCAATTACTCTTTTACTTTCTCCTAGTTCAACATTTGTCATCTTTCTGCCTACGATGCAAACAGGTATGAGGCAAACGTCTGACACTTCAAGATGGAACCTGTACAAATCCACAGATGACCAACCCATCCTAACTCTCCAAATATATGCAAAACATTTTTTAAAGGAAAAAAAAACCATTTATACTCAATTATGCGTTCCTTAGGATTGAATGGAGACAAAGAGTCCAGTCCCAATTTGCTAATTACCTAAGAACAAAAAGAAAGAAAAAGACTTACAGATGCTGATTTATAGAAGTTCATAGAGGCTCCTTCCTGAATAACAGTCTTAATAGTTACCTAATTCACTGACAGCCCCCATCTTTTTCTGACATGACAGCATGTACCGTTATACCTATCTATCCTGATTTCTTGTTTTTCATTTACTGATCAATACTGCCAGATCATATTTCTGACTACTTCAAAATAAAAGTCCCCTGCCCCAAATGTCAATTAAGTTTATCGGACAATTACCCAACAGGACATACATGAATGAGTTCACAGTTTACTTGCTTGCTTGTTTAAATAAACACCAGACCTAGAATTCCAAAAGGAGGAGGAAAGTATGTATGGAAACACATGGAAATCCTGGTGCTTGGGTAGAGAAAGACTCAATGGTTTTATGAAATGAATTCTTGATATGAATTGAATCCCATAGATCCCCAGTATATTCATATCTCTTTAAATTCTTCCTGCTTTGAAGGAGTGTGTCCCAGGGCCCTGGACCCTTTTCCCTGGGGGGCTGGGCTGGGGGCGAGGGCCGGGTCTGTTTGCGTGGATGCCTTGCTGAGTTTTTTTCCTGGGCTTTCTTTTTGTCTCCTGACCACATGGCCTGGGGGTGGGGCCTGGGGGTGGGACTTCCTGCTTTGGGGGAGCGTGTCCCAGGACCACGCACCGAAATTCTCAAATTTTGTATCTGGCCTTAATATGGTAAATAGGAAAGCCATTTAGATTTGCATAAGCCGGGGAGTCAGGAAAGTTTTAAGGATCAGATCATACTTCCACACTACTAAAGAGTAGGCTGGGTAGGTGGGGCTCGTCAGCCATGGAAGGCAGCCCATCTAGGAGAAGGAAAACTCCGATTTCAAACCTCCACTGCCTTGTGGCTATATCCACTCATGGAAAAGGCTTCAGGAGTTAACCTTGAGGCAAAATCCGGAGCTGGAGTCCTGAAGGCAGCATGTGTCGTTCTGCCAACTCCTGCGACGTTGCTGGAACCAGTTGTATTGGCTCTTGCCTTTCCATTGGACCATTTCAGCAACATGGAGAGGGGGGATCTGCTGCTTGGGTAACAGCCTATCCTCCATATTACCTTACCTGGGCTTCATGCTCTGGAGCGGACACTCCTCGATTCAGAGCATGTTACCATAGTCTCTCGAGACTGAAGGATGCCTATGCTATTTAATTCTACATTTCAGACAATATGTGACTGAGGGATTACTGACACTACATGTACAGCAAGGAAGAGTGGGGGAAATGTCCAGAACTTCAGTTCCCAGAATCCTCAGCTAGCATGGCCAATTATAAATACGTTGTGATTTTTTAATGGAATTTGGTTGGTTTCCTTTGTCAGCAGAGTATAAAATACAAAATAAACCAGCTACAGCACCGGCAAACATGGAAAAAGTATAGCTAAAAAACCAATGTCCAGCCCACCACTCTTTGCATGTAATAAATCACACTACAATTAGTTTATGGTAAAAAGAATAAAAGCATCTTTACTCACAGTTAATTCTCAAACTACAATCAGAAGAGCAAGAAAGAATAGGAATCCCAGGTTCAACCATTATGAAAGACCCAGTTCACCATTATAGCCACATGGTGAAAGATGTGAAGCAGAGAGAATTCATGTTTGCTTTCATGGAAGAAGAAGAGATAAACATATAGCCAGAAGCAGAAGGAAGCAGGAGGAGGGGAATGGATACCCTCAAGCTCAAGCAAAGAAACTGCAAATTGGTTAGAGGGAAAATACAGTTGTAATAGTTTGTGAAAGCTCCCTCCTCCCACAAAACCAGTATTAGGTTTCATGCATGATGGTTAGTTTGTAACAGGGAGAACTATGCCAATAGTAAAACTAAACATCGGGATAGCCACCTATTGTGTAAGTATAGGAGAAAGTCAGGTGAAAGTCAGGAAACTGCTGCAGAGAGAATAATAAAATGTGGCAATAAAATAAAATAAGGCTCAGAAAAACTGAAGTCCTAAGAAGGGTAGCTGTTGCAAAGCCTTCTAAAAGCATGAAAGACCAGTTGAAACTGATCAAGAATATGGCACACTCTCGGACTGAGTCTGCCTACAAGCTATTCGCGTTACCATGAGAGATAATGTTTACATTTTTGGGAATGGTGCTGAGTTTTAACACCATACGATCATATGAATACAATCCATGGGACTTATCCTGGTCCAAAATAATTTTATAAAAGAATATTAGAAAGTTACCAGTCTGATTTTATGATCCTCCTCCAGGATGAAGAGGTTTTCTTTCTTAATATAAAATTCTGCTGCATCCAACATGGCTTTTTTGGGGACCAGACCTACTAGCTGAGATCCCACCACAGGCAGATTGAGATCCTAGGAGGAAGAACTGAAGTTTTACAGTGATCAGTGCAGGGTGAACCATTCATCTAGAGTCCTGGAAACCTCCACAAGCCACATCTACAAGGACGGAAGTGCTGGAATGGGGTGTGTAAATGTCTGGCAGAAATGAGACATGAAGGACTCTACAGCCCCACATCACTATATAAACTGGAGAAGTCATCTAATTGCATTAACTTAACATCATCTCTGCAGCAGCAGAAATATAAGGTTATAATGGCAAAAAAAAAAACTGTTGGGATGGACTTACTAGAAAGGAAGTTCAGGAGGACAAGGTTCATAACACAGCAGTTGAAAAGAACTGAGTGGAGAGCTTTGGTGCCATGTAGAGGGGGCGGGGCCTATCTTAAGATATCATTTTCTGCATGCAGAAGCTCTAGAACAGTGGTCCTCAACGTTGGGCCTCCAGATGTTCTTGGACTGCAACTCCCAGAAGCCTTCACCACCACCTCTGCTGGCCAGGATTTCTGGGAGCTGAAGTCCAAGAACATCTGGAGGCCCAAGGTTGGGGACCAACTGCTCTAGAACATTTCAGTGAGGCTCTGCACATGCGTGAAATGCCCTTAGTGTGATTCACAGCGGCTATGCCATTGCTTAGGCAATCTGCTTTTTCAATTTGGCAGCTCTCCCTCATTTTGTATATTTTGCTGTACTTTTTCTGAGAAAAAGATAACATCTGAGAACAACCATAGTAAAGGCAGAGGTGTAAGAATTTCAGGATGAAACTGGCTATTTTTTAGGTCAGCACCAGACTGTTCAAGTAGAGCCTTCTCGTGCAACTCACCTTGGCATCACTGCAGACCTCCTCATAGACTCTGTGAAGGGGAGTGGTTTCAAAATCCAACAAATTAGTAGAGACTTGAGCGATATTTTCCTCATCCAAGTACCACCCCATGCCTTGCACCTTGTTCAACCTCCCAGGCTGAAAATAATATTAAGGAATAATTGCTTCAACAGTGACCCCGTTCAGATAAGAATGCCAACAAATATAAGCCAATAAAGGTGGCAGCTTTCTGTTTTAAGTCAGTCCACCAAAAGCTAGTCAAATCTGTAAAGTTTTCATAATGCTTCCATTCCCCCCCCCAGTTACTCACAGCATTCACACAGTAGCTTCAACATATGATGAAAAGATAATTGTACTACAGTGGTGCTTCGACTTATGAACTTAATCTGTCCCGGGAAAAAATTGCCCCAAACCCCCACAAACAAACAGAACAAGCTCCATCGGAACGTGCTAGGGCCAGGGAAAAGAAATCACCAAAAAACAAAACAACACAGCAAGTCCCATCGGAATGTGCTGGGGCCAGAAAACACACACACACACCAAAAAAATAATAAAAAAATAACAGTACAGAAACATAACGCCCCTAGCCCAAACTCATGCTGCAAAACCCTGTATGTACTCACTCAGAAGCAGAAAGCAGAAAGCAGCACCAGGCAGTCTGAAGCCTCTCTGCAAATGCACACACTCTAACCGTTGGGGCGAAAGAGCTACAAAGAAGCAGCCTCTTTTTCGCCCAACGGTTACTAATATAAATTCCCTGCCTTTCCCCCCACCTTTTTTCTGATCGTAACTCAAAGCTTGAGTCGCAAGTTGAAACAAAATTTTGTGGCCGGAGCTGGTTATAACTCGAATTGGTCATGTTTGTAAGTCGAGGCACCACTGTAGTCTGTTGCATCAAAAATAACAAATCGTGGTACATTAATGATGAACAGATTTTCATGGCACAAGCAGTCATGCATTATCCTCAATAAAGAGAGAAACAAGTTCCATTGTGGGATGGAAGCTGAAGTATGCCGGGAAAATCAATGGACCTGCTAGGTAGGCTTTCTCCATGGAGCACAGATTAGGGTTGTGATAGAAGGATTGACATCACTTATAAAACCAACAGATACATATCCTTTTTTTCTCATTCATGTGGGAACAAATGACATGGCCAACGCACAGATTAGGGTTGTGATAGAAGGATTGCCATCACATAAAACCAACAGATACATATCCTTTTCTTCTCATTCATGTGGGAACAAATGACACGGCCAAGAGCAACTTCAAAGACATCACATCAGACTTTGAAACACTGGGAAGGAAACCCAAGGACTTTGGGGCCCAGATAGTTTTCTCATCCATCCTACCAGTGCTCGGAAGAGGAATAGAAAAGGAAAGGGAAATACTCCAAGTGAATGACTGGCTATGAAGGTGGTGTTGAAGTGAAGGATCTGGATTTTTGGGATCACGGGCTAAATTTTCTAGATGATGGGCTGCTAGGAGGAGATGGCTTGCACCTCACAAGGACTGGGAAGAATGTATTTGCCCACAGCATGAAGAACTTCATCAAGAGGGCTTTAAACTGACCTGAAAGGGGGAGGGAGACACAAGCACAGAAGTAAAGATAGATTAAGCCTTACACACAATAAGAGGAATGGACTGAAGAGTTATAATGTTGGTCAATAATAGCAGAAACATTAACAATCTAATCAATATACGATCATGGCCAAAAATATTGGCACTCTCGCAACCCTTCTCTCAGAAAATTGTTGCAGTTGTAAATGTTTTGGTACTCATATGTTCATTTCTTTGGTTTGCATTGGAACAACAACAACAACAACAACAGTTTCTTACACCTCTCTACTGGAATTTTGGACCGCTTTTCTTTTGCAAACTGGTCCAGGGCCTTCAGCTTTGAAGGATGCCTTCTCCCAACTGGTGTTTTGAGATCTCTCCACAGGTGTTCTATGGGATTCAGATCTGGACTCATTGCTGGCCATTTCAGAACTCTCCAGCGCTTTGTTTATAGTGCTTTTTGAAGTGTTTTTTGAAGTGTTTTGAGTGCTTTTTGAAGTGTTGTGGTTTTTTTGGGGTCATTGTCCTGCTGGAAGACCCATGATCTCTAGTGGAGACGTAGCTTTCTGACACTGGCCACTATGTTGCGCCCCAAAATTCTTGGGTAATAATCAGATTTCATGATGCGGTTCGCACAGTCAAGGCACCCAGTGTCAGAAGCAACAAAGCAACCACAAAACATCTTTGAACCTTCACCATGTTTGACTTTAGGCACTGTGTTCTTCTCCTTGAATGCCTCATTTCTTTTTCTGTAAACAGTGCCATGATGTCCTTTACCAAAAAAACTCTACTTTTGTCTGATCTGTCCACAGTTCCCAGAAGAATTGTGGTTTTGTCACATAGGTTTTGGCATACTCCAGTCTTGCTATTTTATGCCTTTGTGTCAGCAGTGGTGTCCTCCTGGGTCTCCTATCAAGCGTCCCTTTTTATTCAGATGGTGATGGATAGTATGAGCTGACACTGTTGTACCCTATGCCTGCAGATCAGCTTGAATTTATTTGTAAGTTAATCTGGGTTCTGTATCCACCATTCAAACAACCCTTAGTTGTAATTTTTTAGTAATTTTGCTCTTCGTCCAGGGAGGTTAGCTACAATGCCATGGGCTGTAAACCTCTTGATATTGTGCACAGTGGACAAAGGAACATTATGATCTCTGGAGATGGACTTGTAGCCTTGAGATTGTTGGTATTTTTCCACTTTTTTTGCTCAAATCCACAGACAACTCTTTACACTTCATTCTTTTCTCCATGCTCAGTGTCACACACAACACAAAGGTTGAGTCAAATTTCTCCATCTTAACTGGTTGCAGGTGTGATTATTATATTGCCCACACCTCTTATTTGGGACAGGTGTATCTAAATACAAATTAAAGGAGCATCTCATGCTTGAAAAGCAATTATTTCTTACAATTTGGACAGGGTGCCAATAATTCTGGCCAGTGCATTTTTTTGGCTTCTGTGTGGGATTGAATCAGATTTGAATGTTCTTTTCTGTTTTTCTGTGTTGTTCCAACGCAAACCAAAGAAATGAGCATGTGAGTGCCAAAACATTTGCAACTGCAACACTCTTCTGAGAGAAAGGTTGCATTTTCTGACAGAAATGCAAGGGTGCCAATATTTTTGGTCATGACTATAAATGCATAAAGAAAAGCAGACACCATATCATCCAATTTGCGATGTCTATACATGAATGCCAGGAGTATGAGAAACAAACAAGAAGAACTGAAAATCTTAATTCAGAAGGGTAAATATGACTTGATAGGAATAACTGAAACTTGGTGGGATGACCCCCATGACTGTAATACAGCAATTGAAGGATATAATTTGTTCAAAAAGAGCAGAAAGAATAAAAAGGGAGGTGGAGTTGCTGTATATGTGAAAAATACACATTCATGAACAGAAATACAGCAGGAGGAGATTGGCTGTCCCATTGAGAACATCTGGATCAATCCAGTTGGGGCAAAAACCAAAAGGAGCATGGTAGCTGGAGTCTACTACCAGTCGCCCAATCACAAGGATGTCAAAAAGACACAATGTAGTAGTGATGGGAGATTTTAATTATCCTGATATATGTGGGAGGCAAATTCTGCCAAGTAGGGCCCTTACAAGAAATTCCTGGCTTATGGGGCTGATAATTTTCTCCTACAAAAAATGGACAAAGAAACTAGAGAGATAGCTATCCTTGACATGATTCTAACCAATAGAGATGACTTGGCGGAGGAAGTGGCAATAAGGAGAATTCTGGGTGGAATAACAAATATTTATTTATTTATTTATTTATTTATTTATTTATTTAT